TGCTGAAGTTTTCAGAGTTAGCAAACCAGGATTTGAAACTGTCTCATCCAACTTACAAATATTTTACTACTTGACAAATTTTGAGGATTAATATAAACACAGCCAGTTAAATTTAGAAGAATAGAGGTCGTTAGCTATTTTTTGGAGATTAGTCTCTGAAAGGTAATAGGTCAAAGCAGTTTCAAAAGGCTGAGGACTGGGTAGTGAGACAGAGAATAACAACAGCAACAGAAACAACTCTCTGAGAAAGTGGAATTGGAAAAGAAATAGCCACAATTCCATTTGGGCTCTCTTCTTTCTTCATTGGTTGTCCAGACTTCTTTCCAATGAGCTTACTTCTTTACTGCTGTGTATATTTCTTCAGATAAAATCTGCTGCTTTTCATTTATGACTATCAAAGCATTCTTTCACATGATACTAAAAACTTAATACAAAACTGTCAAGTACTCAGCTAATAAGGCAAGTGATTTTTGCTTTTTTTTAAATTTTGTTTTGTATTGATAACCTTTAATGGTTACTTTTCAAATTAATTTTTCATAGTTTCATGAATTTCTAGCCGATGCCATTTAAAGGCATTGCTATGTAAAACATATATAAATGCTTAAAGATTTTTGAGAGTAATACATGTGGTGATAGTTCAAATATAGTTGTATGAGAGGATGCAATTTGCTGGTGTTTGCAAATGTACTTACTAGAATTGAACTTTTTTTTATTTCCAGGCTGATATTGCACCACTGATGACATCCCTTATTGGCGTTCCCTTTCCTCTTAATTCGGTGGTAAAGAGAAACACTTACTACTGCTTCATATAAAAATAGAAGTTACTTTTTATGTGCCTCTGTATAGTCTTTAGCTATATTTAAAACTGTATTCCTTCTTGCATATCTATATCTAAATAGGTAGTACTTCATAACTGAGTATATGCATATAACATGGAAGAAAGCTTGCCTTTAAATATTTTATTTCTTTAAAAATACATGATCTTTATCGATTCTAGTAACAAGTGATGTATATACATGTAAATAATTTTTTTATTACAAGCAACAGAAACTGACTTCTTTTAAAGAAGAAGTATTGGAAAAGATATTGTTTGCTAGATCACATATATGCTTAAAAATCATGTTTGGAAATCAACAGGATCCAGGAGGGCTGCCCTGGCATGGCAGTGTTGCTCAATGCCCCAACCTTAGAGGAGAACAAAATTATACTTGTACTTGCTGCTCTCGGACACTCAAGAGCAAAATCCAGATTGTCTGGCTTGGGTGTTCCCTACCCTTCCACAGAGGAGGACAGCTCCTATCCTTACAGTTCCAGCATGTTTTATTTGGAGGGGAAGGCCCTAAGCAGGAAGTAGGAATGCTGCTAAGAATGGATTTGAGCACGGTGGAGGGGGTGCGCACCTTCAATCTCAGCACTCTGCAGGTGGAGACAGTTAGATCTCTGTGAGTTTGAAGCCAGCCTGGTCTAGAAAGTGAGTTCTAGGACAGATAGGAAATAGACAGAGAAACTGTGTCTTCAAAATAAAACAAAAAAAGGGGTGGAGTGGGGTGGGTTGGGTATCCAAATGGTGAAAGTCAAAACACAAACTAAGAAAATTTAAAATATTGGTTACAACCAGTAATACTTTCTAGGTTTTCAAAGTCAAATTTATGTTAAAAATGGAATATAACTCAGAACTTTAAATAATAATATCCTGATTGCCTGTGTGTATGTTGTAATTTTATTCCTAAAATGAATAGAATATCCTTATCTTAAAAAAAAGTAATTATAACTGTGGCCATTACAGTGATTATTCTTTGTATATAGCATACTTAATTCACTGAGCATGCAAGAATATGCCCAAGATAGTTCTATTAGTCAGCTTTCCACCACTGTAACAAAGTTCTCACATAATCCTCTTACAAACAGCAACAAAAAATGTTTATTTTTGGCTCACAGCATTAAATGTTTCAGTCTGTGGTGACACATTGTGGCAGACCAAACCCAAAACTTCTTGCCTTGTGACAAAAAAACAAAAAGATGAAGATGCCATGGTCTTTAAGAGGGTGTGTTCCTAGTGACCCAAATGACTACCCACTAAAGTTTCTGTCACTTTTCATTAGGTCTTACCTCCTCACTCTTCTACTAGGGTCCAGTAGCAGCAGGTTGGGGAGCAAGTTTTTACTCATGTACCTTTAGGGAACACTGAAGGTACAAACCATGGCAGTACTCTGCCAGTCTTAGATTTTAATTGTTTTAATTTGTCTCATTTCTTTATTAAATTCATTATTTCTGCTTTGTGAGAAAGTAATTTTTAGTTCTGATTTTTAAATTTTTCCATTTAATCCAGTAATTTATTTTCTATTTTTGTCTTTTTTCTGTTTTAATTATAACTTGTGTGTGTGCCACATGTGTGCACCTGTTCAGGCATTTGAGTCCTCATCCTCTGAAAGAGTAACAAATGCCTTTAACCACTGAGCAGCAAGCACTCTTCTTAGTTTCTAAATGTTATGAATGTGCAGTTTAGTACTTGCCTGTGTGTCTGTGCAGCACATGAGTGCCTGATGCTCTCAGAATCCAGAGAGGCTGTCAGAGCCCCTGGAACTGGAGTTTACACATGGTCATTAGCCCCAAGTGGGTGCTGTGAATTGAACTCTGGTCCTTTAGAAGGGCAGCCAGTGTTCTTAAGCACCGAGCCACCCAGCCACCTCTCCAGGTCCATATCTAGTGTTCTTCATTCCTCAGTTATCTCTCTAGCTTCTTGTTTTCTCATTGAAACAGAATCCTACTCTAGCTCAGGCTGGTCAGGAACTTTCTATCCTCCACCTTGGCCTCCAGAGTGTTAGGTTCACAGAGTTGTGCTTGTTTTACGATCAGAACACCACAGTCTTTGTTAATACTTGCATTGTTTTGTTTTTTTAGGGAACACTTCCTGTGGATTATCTTAACAACACTGGTCTTTTCAAAGCAGAGAGCATGCTTACCAATGCAGTACAGGTTCTTGAACAGTTCAAGGTAAGAAATTAACTATACTATATTTTTTAAATATGTTAAGTAAAATTTTTGATTTTATGTTTTATATTTTAATGAATAATTTCCTATAACTTTGTATCTTGGGACTTGAATATTTGCTATTATAAAGCTTTTATTTCTGAAGTACGGTTTTATGGGCCAATTAGAAGGTATAGAATTGTTTTTGAGTAGTGTCACTTGCTGTAAGATTGCCGTATATACTTATAAAGACTGCAAGTCAAGTCCTCATTTATTGGAATATGCCCCAAAAAGTAGATTAGAGATCACAGCATTACAGACATGATTCTGTAACTGAAAATTTGTCTGTCTTTATTTTCAAATAGTTAAGGAAGAATTGCTGTAATTACATTATAGTACACTATTTTTGCAAGATTGATGTACTTAATTCTCAACTTACTGAGATAGTATATTTAATTTTTCTTTAAATATTTATGAAACAATACAATAGCACACAATTTTATTTCCTTCCATAAAAGCCAATCATCCATGAAGAGCCATTTTAATTGATATTTATATTTCAGAATGAAATTCATTACTTTTCCTCATTTAAATATAATAAGAATTTTCATCCTTCTTTCTCAGGTGAAGATGACTCAGAAAAAAGAAGTTACTTTACCATTCTTGTTTACACCGTTTAAGTAAGTCTTAAATATTTTTTTTTTAACTTGAGGGAAAAAATTTCACTTGAGTTTGATGCCAGTGAGATAGATTTTATACATAAACATTGTCGTTTTTGTGTGTAGTAGAGCAGATGCCAAACTGAAGTCCTCTTCTGTGTTACTTTTGCTAATGCGCCTAGCATTGTACACCTGAGTGTCTGGACGAGGAAATGGGGCTGTGGTACTGTAATGATTTACAGAGGAAAGTGGTCGAAGGTTAGCTCAGCTTCCATATGAAGATGTCAGCTCATCAGTTAGACATAGGGGCTTAGATATCAGATCTGGGTAGATATTGGAAGATTGTGGAGCCATCATTGGGAAGATGTTGATAGAAGCGATTCAATATGTAGAAGGCTCTGGGGAGAGTATAGAGAGTGACAAGGAAAGGCCAAGTGAGATATTTGGAAAAACATTGGCTCCCACCTGTGGGCAAATATGAGAGCCACCTTGAACAGATGGCCACCAAATTTCTTTGTTTCAGATCTCAGAGAAGATCTATTTTTCCTGAACAAGGAAAGGACAGATCTGAATCCTAGATTTTACTGTTTATGGCTGACCACATGTGTGGGCTCAGCAGGTTTTCTTGGCTTCTTGGAGATTTGCATTAAAAAGGGTTTTACTTCTGATTAAAAAAAAAAATTTAGACTATAGGCGTTTAGGAATGTAATTAAATTATTTCATTGGAATTATCATCATCATCACCTCACTGGAATTACTTTTGCCAAGTTATATAATACTAGTGTATTATATAAGCCAGAAAGGTTTAAGTAATGTGGTAGTATGCTTGTTTTCTGTGTGTATATGTGTATATATACATAAGTGCATACATATATACATACACATACGTATATACATATGGATCTTGACTGTTTCTTACTTTATTTTTCAAGGAGATATGCTTTCAGCAAGTGAGTATTTTTAGACTGGCAGGTCTTCAGACTTCACTGGCCACTTTGTTTTAGGATAATGAGCAATTGGTTAAGCTTGGCCCACAGATAACACAAATTTAACAATGGCTGTGAATATGGATAGCAGCATGTATGTATTTAAGTGTTTTGTGTGAATATATAGTACCTCATTTACAAGAAATAGTTATTGACTGAACACTGTATTGATTAGTTTTAATTGTTATCTTGACACTATCTAGAATCAGCTGGGAAGAGATTTTTAATGAGGGATTAGCTAGCTCAGTGGGCATTTCTGTGGGATATTAACTTGAACATTTTAATTAGGGTAGGAACATCCCTCACTGGGATGGCAGCATTCCCTAGGCAGGGGATTCTGAAGGTTGGACCTGCCTCTAGAAAGGCTAGTCAAGAATAGAGTCTTCTTTAAGGATGTGTGCATACTTTTTACCTTCTTCCACTTAGTGTCTAATGCTAAGCATTACTTTGACGCTCAGCTCCTGCCTGATGGTTAACTGTCTGTATTTAGAGACATTGCTTGGTGCAAGGTGGGGTTGGCCGTCCCCATATTGCTTCTCTGTCTTGGAGCAAAACGATGAGACCTGTCTCCAAACCTATTTGGCTAAACATTTTTTGAGACGATGTTTCTCAAACTTTAGATAGAGAAAAATTTCAAAACTAGCTTAACTAATACTGAGGAATAACAAGATAAAGAGATTTTCCTTACTAGACAGTAAATGCATTCTAAAGCTACTTACAAAGCAGTATTGGTACATATATAGCACATAATTACTCAGACCGACTTGGTAGTACATAAAGAGATTGATAACTGTGTGATATTATTTTGATTACAGATAGCATTTCAGAACAAAACATATTATTTTTGCACTGGAAAAAATGTGGCCAGATCCTCCACCTTACTTTAGCTGTAAATTAAATTCCACATTGATTAAAAATGAAATATGTTGTTATAGACAAAAATGAAAATCCTAACTATTCTATTTTACTAATAAAGACTCAGGAGTCAGATGCTGGGTGAAAACCTGCTAGCTCAGAAGGCAGAAAAAGTACTCAGCTGATCTTCCTTCTCATCTCAGGTCCAGATTGAAAAAACTCAAAAGGCTCACCAGCTCAATTGACAGCCCAGGAGGAAAAGTCCAAAAAACCCAAGACCAAAGGCTTGCTAGCTCAAAGCTGAAAAAGCAAGGGAGCTGAGGAGTTGAGGCCAAAGCTAAAGCCAGAGCTTAAACTAAAAGCTCGCTCTTCTTCTCCACACTGTCTTAAATAGCCCTCAACTCAAAGTCTCTCCTACTCTTTAATTCCTGTCAGCTGGTTTCTTGCTCTGCCTCTTGACCCAGGGTTAATATTATTAAATCCTGTGTACAGAAAGCTCTTGGATTACAGGTGTGTTCTAGGGCTGAGTGAATCACACCATAATCACCTGTTTACAATAAAGTTTTTGGATTAAAGGTGTATTATAGGGCTTAATCATACCAAATGAGAAAGAGTGTTTTTCAGTTCATAATTTTGGGGTTCACAAATATCCTACAATAGAAATAGAATGTTTTTTTTTTAAAGAAAAAGTGTAAAATCTAAAATGAAACAAAAAATAACATTAATAAGAAAAAGACAGCATGATTATATCAAAACTAAATGTTGTTTTAGATAAAATAAACCATAAAGATTAAATTATTTTCAGATCTGGAGAAAATATTCATAGACTATGTAACAAGCATTTGATACATCAAGTCAGGGAAAATAGATCAGGCAATAGAGTCCTTACTGTTCAAATATGAGGCTCTGAGTTTGATTTCCAGAACCTATGTTAAAAAAGTACAAAAGGACAGTTGGACAGTGTGTGTTTATACTGTCAGCACTGTGGGGTTGGATACAGGCAGATTTCTGGGACTTGCTGGCCAGGTGTCTTTGAGAGGTCTTCCAGTGAAAGACCTTGTCAAAAAAAAAAAAAAGAAAAAAGAAAAAAAAAAAGAAAAAGAAAAAGAAATTGACCTCAGTGCCTCACCTTTACCATTCCATATACTCCTCAACACACAAAACATTTTATACAACAATAAAATATATACCTTAATGAATGGAAAATTATTCCCAAAAATTCATAGAAGAGAATACATAGATGGTTGTTATGAAAAGAATATCCACCTCATATTTATTGAACATTTACTAGTCATTAAGTATTGTTTTATGTTTTTACATTTATTTAAAAAAGGATTATTCCCTAATCCTCTGAAGCCCTTACTGTTACTTTCCCTACTTTATGGTAAAGAAGTTGAGGCACAACAAAATGACTTACCTGAGATATCTAACCCCTATTCTAATCCTATCTTGAGAGCAGACAGAGTGACTCTACAGCCTCCTGTACTCATGACTACTTCGTAGTGCTAGTTCAAAGTACATAGTCCCAGATTTTGTGCCTAAAGGCTTGCTTGTGACAATGTTTTCTGACATAAGTAGAGAAATTATAGGTAGCGAGAAATGGAAGCAAATATTTATCAATAGGAGGAAGGTTAGATAACAATAGGGTTGTTTGTATTGTGAGCCAGTTATGGCAGTGTAAGGAAAGTGAGGTAAGTCCATATGTACTTACACAAGAAAGTTTGAAATCTGAGTGAAAAAAGTAAGTGCATAACTTTGATACATTATATAATTAATCTTAAAAGTATGTAATAATACTGTGACTGCAGAGGAAAAGCATGAAAAATATACATGCCTACTTAGTAGTATCATGAAGATATTAGTTAGTATTATAGTGAGAATTTATTAATGAAATTGGAAGATACAAGAATCAGGAATAATGCTAAACTGAATGTGATTTTTCTGTTATTTGGGCAGTTGCACATGACATAAAAAATTATATTTTTAAATAATCTTTATTTTTATGCATTAAAACTTTATTCCTGCCTTGAGATATTTTGAAAAATATTTGTATTTGAGAGCAGTGACTATATGTGTTAGCCTGGCATTTACTGTTCAGTATATTCAGAAGAGCGTTGATAACCAGGACCCAAGTGCAATATACATTTTTATTTTTATTTATTGAATTTAATAAATGTTCTACATCCATATCATGTGCTTCCTTTTAATCACTTTATACATAGACTGTCAATGTCTTATAGGACAAATAAAAGAAATATTGGCTTATAAACATAAAAGATGAGGGCAGGTTGAGGTGATGCATCCTTTTAGTGAAATGATCCAGACCCTTGTCCAAACTATTGGCTGAGGATGTCTTTCCTTCCTATTTTCTTTTGGCCCTGAGAATTATGTTGCTTACACATTATGTTCTTTATGGAAGTGAAGTCGTTTCTTCAGTATTGACATCTGAGATTTTCATAATCTTTGTAATTGTACTTAAAAATTAGATTTCACAGCATCACCAAGTTTTCATCTAATAATTTATTTCTGCATAGCTATCACGAAATAATTCTTGGTAAAATGATTCTTGGTATAGTGGAATAGCAGAGGTTTTAAAACAGGAAAAATAAGATTGCTGAGGTCCTATATGTATTTTACACATATTTTTAAAAGATTTATTATTTATACAGTATTCTGCCTGCATACACACCAAAGAGATCTCATTGTATATGGTTATGAGCCACCATGTGTTTTTGCTGGGAATTGAACTCAGGACCTTCAGAAGACTAGACAGTGCTCTTAACCCCTGAGCCATCTCTCTAGCCCCCTACATAATTTTTTAGGGTCCAGTAAGTTCTTACTGTAATTGCATGTTCTGTTTTATCCAAAATAAGTAGTTCCATGTTTAGTTTTAAATATTTCTGGGGAAAAAGAGTTGTGAAATATTCCTTTCGACAAATAGAAGGAATAAACAAAAACCTAAACACTGGGTGCTGTGGATGCTGATGGTATGTTGAAGCCTGACCAGCAGGTGGCACTACATGATTAAGAGTGATTAGAAACGTTCCATTTACTTCCAAAGTGTTCAGTTTTTCTGGGCGTTACAGTGCAGGTCTGTGATCCAGTGCTGAGGATGTGCAAGAAGCTTGCTGCCAGTCCAAGCTCAGCCTGGTACACAGGATAACCAAAACAAACAAACAA